AGGAAGACACATTTTAAATAGAGATGATGGGGGAATTGTTAAGAGTTATGGGCTACATTTAGAGAATATCTTGTGTTAAAAATTGGGAGTAAAGGAGAGAGTATTATGGAAAGTAGTAGAAATAGAGCAGATTTTATAATGTTTTCTAAAGCATTGAATATCTCTTGATCTTACCTCTGCCATCCTGCCCCTTGGTGATAGGTAGTAAGAAATGGAATTTACAATTATTCTCCTGTTTGAAAGTTATGAACAACTTGGGCTGAGCGAGGCTTCACATGTAGATGGATTGCATTTTTACAGGCAAAAGATGAGGACATTCTAAAAGTCGAGAGCAATTTGTAAAAGGAGGAGAGAGTCACAGGTTACGCTAATCAGAAAGTAGTAATTTATATCAGAAACATTTGGGCAATGAAGTTATTTAGGTGCATTGATTGCAGAATGATGAACTAAGGTGATTAGCTTGAGAAGCTGACTTTTAATATACTCGAGAACTCTGATAGCTTCCCTTATACTTATCGCTATAAGCTTACAATATTATGAACATTTTACTTTATCCTTTGGATCTATTCTAAATTTTGCAGCAGTATGTGGGATGCACAGTGAGAAGGAGAGCCTCAAGCATGCAGAAAACAATTATAAAAATTTATTTCTGAAAGCATGATGTTTGGACTAGCATGTTGACAGCGTGAATATAAAGTGAAGATGCAGGTGAAAATTGCCAAGGAAGAATCATAAGACCAGATGATGAAATAAAGAATTAAGGAAATGAGTCAATGACAGCTTCCAGGTTTTGTGCATGGGAAGACTGGGACAGTTGGGTGTTATTAACTTCCTGAGGATGTCATACTTGAACTGAGATTTGAGTTATGAAAAGACATAGTTGGATGAAAGGAGTGTCAGGGTAGAGGAGCTAGGTTGGTTCATCATATACAAACATCATATTATGAGTTTGGAGGGGTAGGCAGAAGCAAGACTTTGTAGAATTTTATAGACCATGGTCTATTAGTGAAGGTTCTCTAGAGGACCAAGACTAATAGAATAGATTTATATATGAAGGGAGTTTATTAAAGAGTATTGACTCACACAACCACAAGGTGAAGTCCCACAATAGGTCATCTGCAAGAAAGAAGCCAGAAAGCCAGGAGAGAGATCCAAGATCGCCGACTAGCAGCAGCTCAGGATTGAAGCTCCCAGTGAAGGCACAGGGAGTGAGTGGACGCCAGACTTCCAGACGAATTTTTGTTGCTAATGGACCAGGAGATTCCCGGCGGAGGAGCCCCATGGGTTGCCAGCGCGACTCTTTCGGCTGGTGCAGCTGTGTTTTGCTGGCACCCTAGCGTGGCGGTTCTCAATGCGGAGTATGCGGGACTGGGTGCCCTTTTAGTTGGCATTTGGAGCTCCAGGAAGGCAGAGTCACCCATTCATCGGATTGAAGGGGGGACTGACGCGGGGAGCCAGACCAGGAGATTTTGGGCAAGAAAACGCGAATCTCAGCACCTCTGTTTTAGCTGGTGCAGTTGCCATCTGGGAAATTGCATAGATCCCGGTGCCTTTTCGGTGGGTGACTGGGGCACCTGGGAGAGAATCAATCCTTCAATTAGGAAAAGAAAAACAAGGGGGCTCCAAGGCAGGGAGCCAGGTGATTGGGCTCAGCTGGTCCCAACCCCTCAAAAAAACAGCAATTGGAAATGCTGATGGCTGAGAGTTTCACAGCAAGCACAGCTGACCCTGGGAAGGTCCAGCTCTGTGGGGGAGGGGCGTCCACCAAAGGAAAACAAAGAAACAGAAATAACATCATCACCAACAAGCTGGACGTCCACTCAGAGACCCAATCTTAAAGTCAGCAATTACAAAGATGACAGGTGGATAAATCCACAAAGATTGGGAGAAACCAGCACAAAAAGGCTGAAAACACCTGAAATCAGAATACCTCTCCTCCTTCAGGAGATCACAGCTCCTCATCAGCAAGGGAACAGGGCCTGATGGAGAATGAGTGTGATGAACTGACAGAATCAGGCTTCAGAAGGTGGATAATAAGAAACTTCTGTGAGCTAAAAGAACATGTTCTAACCCAATGCAAAGCAACTAAGAACCTTGAAAAAAGGTTTGACAAAATGCTAACAAGAATAGACAATTTAGAGAGGAATGTAAGTGAATTAATGGAGCTGAAAAACACAATACGAGAACTTCGCGAAGTATGCACAAGTTTTAACAGTCGAATTGACCAAGCAGAATAAAAGATAACAGAGGTCAAAGACCAACTCAATGGAATAAAATGAGAAGGCAATATTAGAGAAAAAAGGGTAAAAAGGAATGAGCAAAGTCTCCAAGAAATATGGGACTACATGAAAAGACCTAATCTATATTTGATAGGTGTACCTGAATGTGATGAAGAGAATGAATCCAAGCTGGAAAATATTCTTCAGGATATTATCCAGGAAAACTTTCCCAACTTAACAAGGCAGGACAATATTCAACTCCAGG